CCCCAAAACCCCAAAACCCCAAAACCCCATGTCTTTCAATTTTTCTAGATTCAAAAGTCCATCAAATTAATAAAAACTTAATCAAACCCCTTATTATAATTTTGACGAAAAAGCAGAAATAATTACCTTTTAAATCAATAATGGAAGACTTCTAGCAATTGCGCTATTAAATGATATTTAGACCTCCTAATATTTAAAATACTTCAAATAATGAAGATTCCAACCCGATTAAAGTTATTGACAAAATTAGTAACTAGCAAAAGAGTATTATGATTCTCTGTATTTATCAGATTAGTAACTAGTTAGTATTTGTTGATTTCCAAAAAATGGGTGTCATTATCGATATTGAAACTATGGAGATAAAATACAGACTCGATACAAAGGTAGCTACTAGGTGCTGTGTTAAAGCTAATAATCTATTGATCTGTGGTCTTGATAGCAAATATATAACTGTCTATAACTCTTCAGCAGAATATAGACTAGTTTAAACTATTTCTGGTCTTGACTTGCCTCCTGCTAGAGCTATGGATGTAAAAGATGATTTACTTCTTATCGGATTTTTTGCTACTTTATTTCATATCTATAAAGTTAATGAAGAATCAATTCAAGTATTGCATAAAGTGAACTCTGCAGAGGTTTAATTTTCAAGATTTTTAGATTCAAAGTATTTTGTTGTTACTAATTACGGACAGGGCTTTTAGTGGTACAATTACAAAAATAAAAACTAGCATTTAGCTATTAGACCGATGTAAAAAATAAGCCAAAGATACTTAAAAAAGACAAAAATCAATGATTTTATAAAGCTTAGCAAATAAAAATATCTTCTGCTAGATTGGGACAGGCAAAGATATATCATTTGGAATTAAAAAAAGAAAAGCTACAGAATAGTTTAAAACTAAGACAGAGTAGTCCAGAAAGTGCTTTGTGGTTCAAAATTGAAAATCAGATACCCAGTTTTGCATTACCGAGAGAACTTGCAAAAGGTTGATAATGAGTTAATTAGCTTTCCTTTCGTTCTTTGCAAATAGGAAAAGTATCTAGTCGCCATTAATTATGAGAATATGACTTTAAAAAGTGTTGGTAAAAGTTTGACAACAAGTGGATTGCTAAATTAGAAATTGATTAAGCTCAAAAGATAAAATGAGTTTGTTGAAGATACTTACAAAATTTAGTTCATGACAACAAGCTAGGGTCTTTTAATGTCTGAAGGAGAGTTGGTTAAAATAGAATTAGACGTAGATAAAATGCTTGAAATGTTTTGATCTCAAGTTAATTTTAAATCATCATTAATTTCAATTTCTTACTTAAACAAATTAGAAATAAATATATCAGCCGGGGTTTTGGGGTTTTGGGGTTTTGGGG